ACATAGATGTATAAATATTAGATTAGATTTAGGCTGGATAACTATCTTGCATGCAGTGTGATAGGCATTAGGATAATATTTTAAGATAAATAGATACGAAGAGTGCAATATGGGAATTATGAATAAAAATTAAGTATTAATTGGAAAATTAGAGACTGAATGATGACATTATTAAATATGCATAAAATATGATTAGCAGTAAAATGATTAAACAATGGATGATTAAATAATGAAATAATATATTTTAATATAAATATAGGTATTAACAGTAGAAACATATGGATTGGATGATTGTAAGAACATGAATAGAAGTATAGAAGTATTTTAAATGTTTAAATGATTGTGATTGGTACTAGAAGTGTACATAGATATTGGTTAATGAAAGAAAGAAGGATGAAATGTTAACACAAATAGATGGAAGACATACATAAAGAAAATATGATTAAAAAGACAAATCTTTGAATATTACAATGATATGGGGGAAAATTAAAATTAAAAGAGAGTTAGAAATAAGTGGGGAACAATAGTACATATCAAGATATATGAAAGAACAAGAGGGCGGCTTAGAAAATGAAGGGTGGAAGTATAAGGTATGCATAAATAATAGAAAATAATGAAAATGAAATGTAGTAATTGGGAGCAATAATATTATGCTTATTTGTATCAAAATGTATGACACCCAGGTATCGCACCATTCACGTATTGATATGTATAAAGAATATAAAATAAAAAGCTTGACAAAATAGTGTAATATAATTTTATGCCATGTACTAGTACATAATATTTTTAATATATATTTATGTAAAAACACATTGATATTGCTATTTGTCACTTGCTGGTATTTTTACTTAATATCTGAAGTAATATAGGATTTCCTGCCCGAGAAGGAAATTTGACAAAAGACCTCCCAGATCACTTCCAACTCTGTTATTCAATTATAATTCTTGAACATTTTTCAAACAAATCACTTATAGATACTCAGGGAAGACAATAAAGTATTAGAAACATTGGGATGATGTTGCTGCTTTGATTGGCAAAAAGAAATTGCAGAGCTTGAGAGGAGTGAACTACAGTATAATTTCTTATAAACATATGTAAGTGTATAGGAATTTTAATAGAGAGAGCTCCTTTTCTTTATACAACAGAAAGCATGAAAAAGAGATTATATTTTACAATTAAAATCGAACAGTGGTGGGATTTAAATTTTTTATTACTGGTTCTATGGGCGTGGCTTGGTGTGTATGGCTTGATGGACGTGGCAAGGGGAAGGATACTGTAAAATCTCCATCCCTCCCAACTCCTTGGAGAAGATTACTGCAAAATCCCATTCCCTCCCCACCCCATTATCCTGCTTTCCAGCTCCATTCTCCTGTGCAGGGCAACAAAAGAAGACCCAGCTGATCAGGTGGGACTTGGGAGACAGAGAATAGATGGGGGTGGGGCCAGTCAGAGGTGGTATTGCTGGTTCTCCGAACTACTCAAAATTTCCGCTACCGGTTCTTCAGAACTGGTCAGAACCTGCTGAATATCACCTCTGCAGTAGAACATGTTGATCTAAATCATCACTATGATACATATAAACAGCGATATGTATATTTATAGGAAACTTACTTTTTCTTTCTATCACCAAAAGGCAGAAGGGAAGGGAAGAACTTCATATTTAAATTAGATTATATTCGTTATATAATACTTTTTTTTTTGCTTTAGAACAGTATTTCTCAAATATTGCAACTGTAGGACTTCAATTCCAAAATTCCCCCATCAACATATCCCTTAAAGCTAACAAGTATGAGAAATACAGCCTTAGAATTTCTTTGGTGTTCTGAAACAGAAACAAAACACCACTGAAGATAATAACATAGCTATTATCGCTATTACAGAAGAATAAGAGGAAGACCAACCACAAGTAGCAACAATCTAGTAAGATGTAGTAATAATCTAGTAACATTTAAAGGTATTTCAAGAAATAAGCATCATAATGAGTTTCTGTTTATAATCTAACATTAAGCAATTCACCAATAGCATTTCATTTTAAAGTTAGCAATGTTATTAACTGGACAAGTTCTCTTTGAAGATTTTCCCTTATCTAGTTTCTAAAACAGAATAAATGGGATCATTTGTTAAAATGGAGTGCTTTGTTTTTCTTACACATAACATGAAATCTAAGTTTTGCTTACTGACACACATATTGTAATAACAATAATAATTTTGACTGAAGGTCATTTAGCACAAAAAAATGCCATGATCTTTCCAATTCTTAGCAAAATGTTGACACTTCTTTTAGAGAATGTTTAAGTGTAAGGTGCATTATTGTGTTGCTACATTACTAATAATTATCCTATAAACTAGCTTTTGCAAAAGCCAAGGTTTAGAGGGAATGTAGTGAATATAATTCCTTATAACAATTATAGCATTAGTCATATATAATGTTATCTCTACAGAGACTGGCAAGTGGCTTTCAGGCAAAAAATTTAAAAAGGTGGGCACTTTTTCTAAAATAATTCTTGCATATGCTTTTTGAAAATTATACTGTATTATTCTTTTTTTTAAAAAAAAAAGCCTATTGAATCTACCGGTAACTGGGACTTTAATAAAAGATTATAACTTAAACAATACGCCAATATTAAATACAGCTAATATTGTTTTAGATGTAATTAATTTGTTACTTATATGAAACCCATTACTTCTGTTTAACTCATTACAAGCCAAATAACATTAAATAAGCATTGGACTTTTTCCCTTCAATTGAATGAACTTCTGAAGACCAGGTGTTTCAAAAGGAATCCTTTATTGAAAGGGATTTTATCTCAACACTAGGCAAAGCAGAGTCTAAGATATCCCCAGGCATACAGTCGTAGATAAAGGAAGTTAGAATCCCTCCCCTTATTCAGATGTGGATTTAGTCAAACAAAGAACCAACATGTTAATTCCCCCCTCCCCTTCTCTGGCAACATATCTTAGCAGAGTTCCCAGGAGTTTCTGGACATCTGGCTCCACTCCTCCAGTTGTATAACATATGCAAGTTATACAGAATCAATATAGGATTTAATATATTCAGGTTACATCAAAAAGGATTACTTGTACCAACTCCCCCCACTTCTTCCATTGAAGAATGGCAGATACATGGATCTGACAAGTTTGAACACTGTTATGGAATAGCAGGAATATTGTCATTTTCAGTAATATTCTAATAAAAATGTTGCTAGTATAATCAAATGTATATTAAGCTTTTTAAAAATATTTTGAAGTGTTTTTCAAATGTATTAGAAATATTATTGAATAAAAAACTATATTAGTCCATACTAATCTATTTCTAATAAAATCACTCCAATGCCTTTACTTTCTGTGCCATAATTCAATATTTTGTTATAAGGTACTGAACTGGAAGATTAAAAACTATGTTTTTACTAAGACATGAGGGGAACCTTATAGAATGCGGCAGACGCCTACAAAATTCACGCAGATAGGAAGCATAGTCCACAAGTCCCATTCCAAGTCAGGGAGCAAGTGTATCTATCCACTAAGTACCTCAATCTCAAGGTACCTTGCCAAAAGCTAGCCCCAAAATTCTTGGGCCATTCCCCATTGTGAGGTTCATCAATCTAGTTATAGTTAGGGCTAGGTGTTCGCTCCCTCGGCTGTTAGGTAAAATCCACTCAGTTTTCCATAGCAGCCTGCTTTGGCCTGTGAGGATGGCAAACATATGGGGGGGGGGGCAAGCCAGGTGCCCTGGCCCATCCAAGTGGGAGGGGAGCTTCACTACAAGGTCGCACAGATCTTAGGCTGCTGAAGGCACAGGGGGGTACTACAGTATTTAGTACAGTGGAAAGGATACCCCCTGTCAGATGCATCCTGGGTGAGGAGTGGAGATATAAGGGCATCTTGGTTAGTGAAAAGGTTTCACTGACAAAACCTCTGCAAACCAGGTGGAGGGGGGGTGGCAGCCAAGAGACATCTCATGGTTTCCTTTGCCTTTCAGGTGTCGTCCCTATGATAGGAAGGGCCACATCTCAGCCAGCCATGGCTATGCCATCCTGAGGCTGCCATTTGGGTTGGGAGGAACTGTCATTGCTCCGTGCAGATGAGAAGCAGCACACCCAATGCAACAGGAAGCCTGCCGGAAGCATATCTCTCAGCTGAGCTGCGGCAGAATGGGAACCTGCTGGAAGCCCACCACCACTATAGGACCATCTCGGACAATCAGCTGAGCCACAGGATCATCCAATCATCCCCCACAGCAGATATGCGGCAGAACAGCTGAGTGGCAGTGCCAGAATGGCGGACCATGTGCAGGGAGCTTGCTGGATGCTTTACGAGCAGCTGTAACACTGCAGAAATGTGGTAGACAAATGGGTGGTGCGTAGCGGGTGAGGAATATATGGGATGGGGTCCAGGGGCAGGGTCCAAGGGGTACGACTGCTGAGGCGGGATAGATCTAAGCATTTAAGGATGGAGGGTTAAACCACAGTAGTACTGACTTTGTTTTCTTTGTATAATTGTTCATTTGGTTTCACACTTGCAAGATATAAAGTTCCACCAGAACATGACATTTATATAACAGTTTTCCTTGGTTTGAACACAGCACAATGTCAACTTTGCTAGAATTTTTTTCTTATTTATACACCGCCTTAATCTACAAGGACTCCTGATAGTTAACTGTTATCAGAGTTACCTAGAGTTTGTTATAAGACAGTGTTTTCAATAGATAAAATAAATCAAAAGTTAAAATATCCATTGAAAATAATCAACACCTCTAATCACAAACAGAAAAAAGCAAGATAATGCAAAACATAATTTAACTTCACAAATATATTTATATGAGAGAAAACAGAAGGAAAATGTGAGAATGTTTGTTCTTCAGCTGGAAAAACCAAGGTTTTATTCTAAGTACATTTGAACTATATTTCCAATTTTCAACTCCTTATAGGAGTTATCCCAACCTCACCCAATTTGATATTTTAAGTAGTGTGTCAAAAACTTTTATCAATGAAAGATCATACCTGACTAAAGCAAGGGCTCTGTTTACTCTTTCTTCAAGGCCAGTTGTCCCCAGAGCTTTCCATGTCATCCAGAATTTAAATGCATCTGCTCTTCTGCTACACTGGATGGATTTATCACCTGTGTCATAGCTGATGTCATAAAATTTGTCTTGCTGGAACAAATATGAAGCATTGGCAGAGTAACATCTCTTAAGCAAGTCCTGTTTTAGATGTAAAAAAAATGAAACAGAATTAAAAATCTTTACTGTGTTCAGGACAACACATTAAATTCTAGCATATAACAAAAATAGCTAATATTGCATAACTTAGTATCTTTAGAAACAAAATGAAATTGTTTTAAAATAGGTAAAAAAGACATCATGGAACCACAAATTCAGCAACACCAATATTCTTCAAAAGAGAGGGACAGGATTTAAAGTTGAATTGTGTAGTTGTTTGAGTAGCCAAATTATCATTTTAGAAAAAACACTATTAGTTTTTAAAGGCCATGGCACTGGTGTAAGTATTTGCCCCATTTTACAAACTTTCTTGCCATGGTTGTTAAATGAATCACTGCAATTGTTAACTTAATAACATGTTAAATGAATCTGGCTTCCCCACTGACTTTGCCTACAAACCTTTCAATTTGTAATCAATTTCTGTATATGTGTGTGTAATGTATGAAATATAAGCTACATATATAAGCTATTAAGAAAACTAAACTTTTAATTTATAGGCAACCGCAGAAATAATTTCTTTGTACATTCCTGCTGTATTATACTATGTACTTACAATGTTAATGGAGGAACTTTTGCTCTCTCTTTTTTATTGTAGCAGAATAAAATGGACTTACAGAACTGTCTTTCACCAGAAGTGCACAACACTGGATTCCTGCCATAAGCATCTTATGAGGATTCCATGCAACAGAAGTGGCCCTATAAATGTAAGAAATGTAAGAAGAAAACTTTTAATGAGAAAATTAAAATTAAAAACATTAATTAATTAAAAAAATAAAATTCATATTTCATTTCATACTGCCTTCATTTTAAAGTATATGCAAAAATATACATATAGATAATTTAAACAGAAATCTGTCTTCATTGCTGACTTGAAGTGTATGCCATCCATCCTTGAGTTGGGAGGAAAAAAACATACAAACTGAAATTTGCTATTCCCATTATTAATCCTTCTCGTCACTCTTTTCCTCTCTTTCCTGTTGCTGCTAAATCACCAACCTTTCTTCCAATATAATGGATAACAAAGTCTAATAGCTTTTATATGTCATTGGAGACTGCCATTGGAACTGTAATAAGGAAAGAAATACAATTTTAATCCCAATACAAAGAGGATTTAGGCCTATCTGATTCATGAGCAGGACATGAAATAGAGGCCAATGCAAGAGTTCCACAACCTCAGTCATTCCTGATGAAAAGAATCTCTCCATGTAATGAAGATATGGCAGCAATGTTTGTGCCATTGATATGTGTAAGGAAAGGCACACAGATCAAACAAAACGGGAAGCAGCTCATTTCTAATTCAACAAAGGGCGAATCTAAAGACCAACACAGCAGTGAAATTCAGTTAGAAAACATTAATATTTGATCACAAGACTCTGGGGTTTCTGACAAACATAAGCAGTCAAATAAATATGTTAATCCTTTTTCTTTTTACAAACTCCAGGGATGTCAATCTTGATTTCATTGATGCTGCATCAGGGATGTGTTTAACCTCGGGGGGTTGGGCCGGCACAGAACTCGCAAGGGCCGCACATGGCTTTCCAGAGCTCCATTTTCACTGGCAGTGGCACTGTAGGCCTTTGCTGTGTCCAGAGGCCAGATCTAAGCATCCCACAGGCCAGATCCAGTACCTGGGCCTTGAATTTGACACTCCTGAACTACTCAGTTGCTTCAAACCATGAGACAAGCGGCATATTTAATTAATAAATAAATAAATAAATAAATAAATAAATAAATAAATAAATAAATAAATAAATAAATAAATAAATAATAAAAATAATAAAAATAATAAAAATAAAATAAGGGGAGGGAAGAGTCAGAAGCTTAAGCCCCACTCTTTTCAGTAATGTCAGAAGTCACTGCTATAGACCCTGAAATTCTCATACAACAGATTGCAAAGTTGCTCCAACTTAAAATAGCAAAATGTATAAAATTTGATTCATAAACTATTAAATTTTCAATTAAAATGGATATACCTGTGGATGCCATGAAGAAGCTTGCGATGCCTCCTTGACAGTAAAGCTGAGCCTCCCCATGATGCCTGTGGAGAAAAATCATTCATTAAAAGTTATAAGGTAGGCTGGGCTGAGAGATAGCAACTGACACAAGTGAGTTTCTTTGACTGAATGTAGACTTAAACTTTTAAAAAAGTTTCCCCTGTCCTCAAATACAATATTTCTACAATATACTGGTTTGAATCTTCTATAATATACTGGTTTGAATCTCTTAATTTTTCACTTGCAGCATATTCAAAAGATTAAGCTAGATAAATATTTTATATTTATATTCATTGCTCTTATAAATGGCAATCCTAAAAAAGCAATGGCAATGATAAATTTATTTAACACATGAATGGATGGACAGGCCATGATTTCAAAATGCCATCCCAGAAGAAAATTCTTTATCTGTCTCATTCACAATTCTAAGAAATGCTAGAGAAAAGCTATTAAGTGCTCTATAACCTATAAATTCTTCAAAAATGATTTGTAATTATTCATGTGTTTTGGTGTCATATAAACTGGTGGTGATCTTAGAGAGAAAGAATACTCACTAAATGTTATGCCAATCAACAACCAATTTTCACTATAACAACAAATAATGTTTCCAATGCATTCTGAAAATTTTATCCTTTTTTAGATGGCATAAATTCAGACATGGAAAAAAGTTCTTTTATTTAGCCTGATGTTTTTTTAAAAACTGAGGAAATATTAGGTTTCTTATACAAGACTACAAGTTTCCTATACAAACTTAAAATGAAATGGCTTTGATATCATGAATATGCATGCAAGTTCCAGTTGCCAGAATTAGAAAAACATTGAGAACATGCAAATGAAAAGAAAGATGAGTTTAGATGGAAAATAGTTGATGGGATACAATAGAAAGTCTGAAAACTGAATCAAAATACGTTCTAAAGAATTGAAAGAGAATAGCAATAGCAATAGCAATAGTACTTAGACTTATATACTGCTTCACAGTGCTTTTACAGCACTCTCTAAGCGGTTTATAGAGTCAACCTATTTCTCCCAACAATCTAGATCTGCAACAATCTGGGAATGAAGCAGAACTGATAATACAACTTCTAGTAGTGGGATTATAAGCATTGGGTACAGAAAGAATGAATAATTGTTTGTACATATGTGTGGGTGTGGGGAGAGTATATGTAGATAGACGATAGACAACAGACAGACAGACAGACAGACAGACAGACAGACAGACAGACAGACAGACA